CAAGCCATTATGATGCAATTTTCTTTTTGATAGAAACCAGGACTAGAAAATAAGAAATTCAACATGGAAATAGTTACTACTGAAAATAGATGTGTATATTATTTATGAAAATAAGAGATTACATAGGAATCAATATTCCTACTGCCAAGAGCTAAGCTCCTACAGAGGGCAAGGCTCTTTGCTCATAACTAAACATAAGACTGCCCACACTTCTCTTTTCCCTAAGCTCCCACATAACCAAATTCCTACACTCCCTTCTCTCTCTCTCCCTATTGTGGGCATGGAGGGCTGCTGTGGGAGTGGCCCATTTAACCTGATTTCCCATATTAAGTCCTACCACCTTTTCCTTTTCAATTAACTACATATTTTCTGGGTGTTATAATTGTTTTTTTTCCTACATAATCCAGGGACTTTCAAATTCTGAACTTGTGAGCTACTCTACTTTGCAGGGACTTTTACATGACTTTCTTCCCTCTTGCTTGGGCCTAAAAAGATTATTCATTATAAGACACATGCGTAACAGTGAATACATACATCTAACTTAATTTTTACACGCGCAAGAGAGTGCATATATCTAACTCAATTTTTACATAATGGACATAAATATGTTCATTCATATATGTTGTCCTCGTCTAAGTCGATTTTAGAATAGATGTAGATATGATAAAATTAATGACTTAAAATACAATCCTTTTCATAGTGAAAATACAATTCTTCTAATAATGAAAAGAGAAATTGTGTTTTAAATAACACATTAAATTATATTATAATATCCTCATAAATAAATTTATTAAAACAAAAATAAAAAGTGGAGTCTTTTATCCAAAAAGTTTGATATAGAGTACTAACATACCCCGATTAAAATAAAGTGAAAGTGTTAGCAATCCCCTAATTTATTTATTCAAACATACTATTTATTTACATATAATTTATTATAAATCTAGTTATATGAATAAATATATTTATATATTGCACATGCTAAAATATTAATTATGAAATATTAAATTTATAATTAAATATGTTATTTTTTTAATAAATATAAATTAGTTTTTTAGAGTAAATTATATTTACACTATCTAAATTTTCATGAAATTACTCACATCTTCTATTTTTTTTCTATCTCTACATCAACCTTTAATTATTTAAAAAATATTACACAAATATCTATTATATACTGTCTCTTATTCTTCTGATAAGAAACTAGATATGGTATAAAATACACTATGATTTTTTATTTTTTTTTATAATGAAGACCGGAATTAGTAGTATTAATTATACTTTCTTAATATTTAAAATATTATATTATGTTCATTTGTAAGGGAGACTGTTAAGAACATATTCAGACTATGTACAAACGTGCAATCTTATGAAACCTGGTGTCAGTTTAATTTGTAATTTTTTTTTCCCATTAGTTTAAGGCTACTTATAATTTTTATAAAATCTTAAAATACCACAGAACATAATGCAATGTGAATTACGTCACAAATCAATCGTAAGCTGACTAAACTTACTTCTACTTTTTTTTTTTTCTATTGGAGCCATCCACAGATTTGAGACTCAAGTGCAACTCATTACCAAGATTAACTAACTATATATGCTACACTAATGGAAACTACAAAGTCTAAAATGACACGATTTTATATCTTTGTAGCAACTTGCATGCTATGGTGGCCCAATAAAAAAACATGGGAGTCCTACATACATATATATAATATATTTAACCACCAACTTGAACTTGACCTAGGCACAATTTTGACCAAGATTCTACTTTGCTTTTCTATAACTTTTTTCTTTCTTCCGGATTCCATGTATCTTTGCGTCACATTAATCTTCCTAAATTAACCTATTATTATTATTATTCATAATAAAATTTTCCTCTCAATATATTACAAACACGTTGAGAGAAGGCAATAAGTAGGTTAAGTTAAATTAGGTTTAAATCTTAGTTATGTGTATTTAGAATTGGATACTATTTACTTGATTTGAAACAATTCCTTTTAGCTGATGCTATAAGATGCAGTTTCTTTGTTTCTAATCTTTTCATTTCTTTTGTTTATTTACCTTTATTCACACAAAAAAAAAATGATTTATATCTGAAACTTGGGATATCACTATATAAGTTAAAATAATTGTGTTTTTTCTATATTTATTTAAATTAGTGCTTTTAAACAGTATTTAAGTTAAATGTGTAGGCTCTTATATTATTTATTTTTTTAACAACCAAATGTATTCTTTTATGAGAGATAATTATATTTTGATTTTTTATTAATTAATATTGAAAATATTTATATATTAATAATATGAGAAAAAAATTAAAAATGTTGTTTATGAAATGGGTAAGTAATGAAATAATGTTATTTTAAATTTTGATAGCTTGATATAATAATATTTTGAAATAAAACGATTAATAGCGAAACATAGTTTTATATATTTATGCTAATATATGCTGGTCAGAAAAGAATGCTAGTAATCATTTTGAATTAGGTGTGCTTTCTCTACCTTTGTTATGGCATTATTATGCTACTTCTTAGCACTTTCGTTTCTATATGAAATTTCTCACTATCAAAGAAGGCGAAAATAACAGCAAATAATTAATTGAGACTAGATAGTTGGAATCATTGTACCGTGACCATCAGTTAGTTTTTTTTTAATTATTTATATATATATATAATTTAAGATATAATATTTTAAAATTACAACAGTAAAAAATTAATCAATGCTTATAGGATATAGTTTTTCGTTGGCCAATTATATCATATCATTATTTTTGTATTGACGGGAATCAATTCACCTATTTGAATAATAAAAAAAAGTGACAGAACAGAATACCAAAGTATCCTTCTTAGATTAATTTTTATATTTTTATTATTTGACCATTAACATATCAATATTGTTTTAATAATTTTTTTATACACGTGCATATAAGAAAATATCCCAAAATCAGATGTTATAATTTTTATTGCATATCCATCCAGTAAATATTTTTCATTACTTTAATTTGATTTTTTTTTACAGAATTACTTTAATTTGATTAGTTATTTATAAATTTAATTTTAATATATTAATACATTAGTTACTTTAATATATATCACTTCTCTTTTCTTTTTTTTTTTCCTTATCTCTTGATTCTCCACATCTACATGCATACACAGCCTAAATGGATGTACATTAATCATTATTCTTTTTATTAATCTATTTATCTAAAATTTAAAATTAATATATTGTTAGTATAAAAAAAATTATATATTTTTTATTTTTAATATATTTATTATATAAGTTAATAAATTTAAAATATACAGTGATTAATTACCAGAAGTATTTTGTGGGAAAAAAATGTTACTTGTGGCCAATTCAACCAAAATAATATTGAGAGTTGCTACGATACCTTCAAAGATCGAGGAGTTTCAATACATTTTTCTATGTAAACTCATAAAAAATTTAAAAAAATTAATTTAATTATAAAATAAATAATCCAAATTATACTTATAAAATAAAAAGTAAGATAAAATTATAAAAATTAAAATTATAAGATTTTAATAATATTATAAAATATTAAAAAAAGAAAAAAATTAATAAATAGTTATTAAAATTAAAACATAGAAATTCAAAAATTTTAAGTGAAAAAATAAAAATATATTTAAAAAATTATTAAAATTAAACTATTTAAATATATAATAATATTATTATAAATAAATTAAAATATATAAAATAAAAATAAATTAACTAAATAATTTAAAAATTGAAAAGAAAATATCATAAATATTATTTAAATAAATTATTAAAAATATAAAATATAATATCAATACCTTCTCTCTCAAATAAGATGGGTAATATCATAACATAACCGTTATACATAAGTAACATGTGTATACGTGGCACTTAGTTGTACACCAATCATGGGAGTCAAAAAGGCACTGTCCATACAATAATGCCCACTTGCCTTAGCCACTTTCGTCCTAATAACCATCTTCAATTATACAAAGAGCAACACTGTCAAGATCGAATAAGCACTTAAATATAAATAATTAGGTCGTTTAATAACCTTAATTAAAATTTTATTTAATGAATTCTTATTATAATAAGAACTTATGCTATGAATCTTTAAAGTTTAATAAGTGATTGTATTTATATATACATGATAAATTATTGATATTTATATTATTTTAAAGTGTTTGAATATATTATTATTTTAATACTTATAAAATTTTATTTTATTTTAAAATTATAAATTATAAACTAAATCTTGACAAAAATAAAATAACATTTAAAATGTGGTTTTTAACGAAAGAAAGAAAAAAAATAAGTGAGGAACAAAAATAAAGGACAAAAGGAAGTATTGTAATAATGTAAAACTGGTTTTTAATGGAACTGGAGAGGAACAAATTTTTTTTGGAGATAGGAGGGAGTAATGAAAAAAATATGTAATTAATTTTGAATGACAAAATGAGAAAAAATTATTTATATTATTGATATAATTCAAATATAAATATGTTCTTACATAAATTAAGTAATAAAATATTTTTTTCAAACATAACTATTTATAAGATATTTTATCACTCTCATGTACAAGTAATTTGTTCTTAATATCTTCCGAATGAGTTTAATTAGTTACTCAGCTAATAAACAAACAAGTCCTCTATCTAATTTGTAGTTAGTTACTCAGCAGTGCCCAAAAATCTGCATGGAGAACCCACGTCTACAAATTAAGAAGATAAAAGTTCTGCCAACCCGCATTGACTCTATTTCTCTCATATCATATTACCTAAAATATATACAATTTTTTCTCTCCTATTTCTTTTTCTCATTACTATATGTGTCAATTAAAGGGTACACCAATCTTTTCCCATTAAACTATAGTAACTTTGGAAGAGTGGATAGAAAAGTTAACAAGAGAAGAAAATGTCATCCATGAAAGCAAACTTAGGTAGAATAATTCTCCTTAACCTTGAAACATGTGTAATGTATCAACATATATATCCTTATATAATACAAAATGCTACACAAGTTGAAGGGTGCATCATCTTCCAAACTCTAATCCTCACCATGCTACTCCCTCCCTCCACCACCTTCATACTCTTCCTCCTCTTCTCCTCAACGCACTCTCTCTTCTTCAACATCACCAACTTCGAGGACCCCGCAGCCTCCTCCGCCATCTCCTACCAAGGCGACGGAAGAGCCACCAACGGCTCCATCGACCTCAACAAAGTCAGTTACCTCTTCCGCGTCGGAAGAGCCATCTACTCCCGCCCCCTCCGCCTCTGGGACTCCTCCTCCGGCGTCGCCGCCGACTTCGCCACGCGCTTCGCCTTCTCCATCTCCCGCGCCAACGACTCCGACCCCTCCATTGGGGATGGCTTCACGCTTTACATCGCTCCCTTGGGATACCAGATTCCGCCCAACTCCGCCGGCGGCACCTTCGCCCTCTTCAACGCCACCACCAACAATGACCTCCCCGAGAATCATGTTGTCGCCGTCGAGTTCGACACCTTTGTAGGGTCCACCGACCCTCCCATGCAACACGTGGGAATCGACGACAACTCGCTTACCTCGGTAGCTTTTGCCAAGTTCGACATCGACAACAACCTCGGAAAAACATGTCACGCGTTGGTCACCTACACCGCCTCCTCTCAAACGCTCTTCGTTTCGTGGTCTTTTAAAGGAAAACCAATAACCACGAATACAAACGCCAACAATAACGAGTCTTCTCTGTCTTACCAAATTGACCTCAAGAAAATTCTCCCTGAGTGGGTCAACATTGGATTCTCAGCCTCAACGGGGCTTTCTACCGAGAGAAACGTTATTCACTCGTGGGAGTTTAGTTCCACTTTGAATTCCACCTTTGATGAGAGCACTCCGAAACCAGAGCACAAAGGGTCAAACTCAAAGCTCGTGTTGACTGTTGCGGTTGTTTGTCCAGCGGTGTTGTTGTTACTGTCTGCTGCGACTACCGTTGTTTTGCTGATGAGAAAAAAGAAAAGAAGGGAGAGTTGCATGTTGTATGAAGTTAACGAGCTTGGTCCCGCTTCAGTTAAATTTGACTTGGACAAAGCAACCATACCAAGAAGATTCGAGTACAAAGAACTAGTGGATGCCACGAACGGTTTCTCAGACGATAGAAGGCTGGGACAAGGAGCTTCAGGGCAGGTTTACAAAGGGGTGTTGAGTTACCTCGGAAGAGTGGTTGCCGTGAAGAGAATCTTCGCGGACTTCGAGAATTCAGAGAGGGTTTTCATCAACGAGGTGAGGATCATAAGCAGGCTCATCCACAAAAACTTAGTCCAATTCATAGGGTGGTGCCACGAGGAAGGCGAGTTTCTCCTAGTGTTCGAGTACATGCCCAACGGGAGCCTGGACACGCACTTGTTCGGTAACAAGAGGACAGTGGAATGGCAGGTGCGGTACAAGGTTGCGTTAGGGGTGGCGACGGCGCTTCGTTACCTCCACGAGGACGCGGAACAGTGCGTGCTGCACAGGGACATAAAATCGGCGAATGTTTTGCTGGACAACGAGTTCAACACCAAGGTTGGGGACTTCGGAATGGCGAAGTTGGTGGATCCGAGGTTGAGGAGTCAGAGAACGGGGGTGGTGGGGACTTACGGGTACTTGGCGCCGGAGTATGTGGGCGGAGGGAGGGCTAGTAGGGAATCGGATGTGTACAGTTTTGGGGTGGTGGCGTTGGAGATAGCGAGTGGGAGGAGAACGTATCAAGAGGGGGAGTTTCACGTGAGTTTGATGAACTGGGTGTGGGAGCTTTATGTTGAGGGGGAGATAGTGAGAGCTGCGGATGAGAAACTGAAGGGGGAGTTTGAGGTGAGTGAGATGGAGAGTTTGCTTGTGGTGGGGCTTTGGTGCACCAATCCCAATGATAAGGAGAGGCCTAAGGCGGCGCAGGTCATCAAGGTTTTGCAGCTTGAAGCGCCTCTGCCTCTGCTTCCTCTTGACATGTATCAACGCGCTCCTCCTCCTCCTCAAATCATTAGGCTCCCACATCATCATCATTCATTGCAATCGCCACCTATTACTACTAGTCTTACCAGTGTTGGAAGATAATCAATCTCGTTATTAATTATATGAAAGTATGGGTCTCTTAATTACCATTCTATTTATTAAGTGCTATATCATGTGCTGCTAACCTGCCATATGATGCCCACATTCTTTTTTCGTCTTTAAGTATCCAAAAACAAAAATAAAATACTAAGGAGTTAAAATGAAAATTAAAATATTTTTCTTAAATCCCTCTTTATAACCCTAAACTGCAACTTTATAAATTATTTTGATTGACCCCAATTATCACTATTTTAGTATTGCAAGTGGCTCTGGGTGCATTGCACGATTCCGTGTGCGCTTATAAAATACTATATTTTTTCTGCCCAGACAAAAACCTCGCTGGCTACCAACTCTTTCTCAAATAGACAAAATTATAAAATTCTCTTTTATTAGTTATCAAATTCCTAAATCAAATAATGACCCAAATGTTCTCAATAAATGCAATTTAGCGTAAAGACATCACCGTAAGTTATCCAAAAGACAAGCATTCACGTGTTATTATAAAAAAGAAATATTTAAATTTTGTCCTAATAAAAAGCATGACATCATCTCATGAAAATATACCGAGGGCTTACTTTACATGAATAATTAAATATCCTACTACTGATTAATATCCTTCACCCTCGCATTGCCCAAGATGCTTAGATCTTTTCTCTCAAAATCATCTTTGTTTTGTTGTTGTTGACATTAAATGCAAACAAATTGCACGTTTGATTCTACTCTGGCTTGGTAATTTCGTGTATGTGGAACCAAGAATCCAAAAGAATGTCTTTTCAGTTTTTTCATCACTCAACTATTTACCATCATCAACACTGTGTACAAGGGACACCAATTCAACATTTTTGGCGTCTGAAGTGTCAATAGCCACCTTTGAATCCACGCTTTTACTTGGAAGAATGGAAGAGTTGGGGTCACCTCTAGGCACCAAAAACAGCATGCAAAGTGGGGTGATCCTTAAAATGTTACGGATCAAAATAGCCAACCAAACATTATCAAACCTTGTTCTTGTGATCCTTAGTATGTGGAGAACAAAGCCACCACCCCATGATGCTGAGAGAAGACCAACATTATCAATTGACATTAGTAGAGCAAAGAAGGTGCCTTCAATGCCTGAGGGACAAAGCTTTGAGCTGAGAACAAGCATTGGCATCCACTTGAGCCTGTTGGTCATTTGAGCTATGCTTTCAACAATCACAACAAAGAAATAATCTGGTATGCCAAACTTGAGGCTCCATCTTAAGACTAGAACCAGATCAAGCATCCCTGACAAACCATAAATCAACTGAGTCCAGAAGAGCAAGTCTCTGAATGCATAATCCTTTAGGGCATACTGGTATAGTATTGCTCCTAAAAGGGCCCCCACTGAACTAATTGAAAATATAAAACCAACACTCTCCTGTGTAACAAAAATGAAAGATAAAGGTTACTATAGCATTCCATAGAACTTTATTATTATAGGCTTAAATATCTTCTCTTTTTTTGTCTCAAAAATGTCACGATTTTTTTAATTTAATTTCTATATTAAAATTTAATTCAATTTAGTCAGTTTAGTTAACAAAATAATGTGATTTTAGTCCTTCACTAGTCACTACACATGTTTTTAGATCCCAGTAAGAAACTAAAGCCACATCATTTTACATGATATAGGAACTGAAAAAAGAATAGAACTTTTACAGGGACAAAATAAAAAATCTTGATATTTTCATAAATCGAAAACAAATTTAAAGGGGAAGTATTACATAACAAGGGAATGAACCTACGTGTTACCTAGAGAAGAGACTTTTTGACTAACTTTTCTGTTTTTCTGTGCTCTCTAATCTCTATTAATGGAAAATAATTATATTATGTATCAGAGTCAATCTCATTATTGGAAGCAAAACAAGTGCACAATTATGATGTTGAATTTGAAATCAAGTGCCTTTTTGTCTTGTATTAAACGAGTGAAGGAAAATACTTCCACTCGCTGTGAAGCAAGAATTTCTACTAAGGTGGGGTTATAAAATGGATCCATCTACATGGGGATTGCCTCTCCTCACCTAGACATGAGGCTCCATTGTCACATTGAACCTATTTGGATAAGTTTCTCCAAAAGCACTTCTAAAAAAGAAAAAGAAAAATTAAAATAAGTTTCTCAATAAGCTAAAACTAGCTTATGCATTTGTTATAAACAAGATTTTGAAAAGGCTAATGAAAAAAATTTCTATAAATTAACTTATGCATAAACTAATTTTAATTTATGGAGAAACTTATTTTATTTTGTCTTCTTATTTAGAAGTATTTCTAGAGAAGTTTATCCGAACAAACTTACTGACATGTATACTTCTTTTACACATCATCAAATAGGAAGGAGTCACTTGAACCACACAGAAGTGAAGATAAAATGTACTTAATCTTCTATTAAATAACCCAACAGTAACCTTGATCAAAATATTAAGCCAAATACCTGAGAGAAAGATGGTCCACCTTTTGAGTCTGTATACCAATAAAACATTCCTTCACGGATATCCAAACTCAATGCAAGGGATAAATACATGTATAAACAAGGTCCCCACACATCTTCACTCCTCAATGTAGTCCACATAGCCTTGCTAGCATCGACAAAATTTTGTTTCACCTAGACAACACATGGAAAATCATATTATGTTTGTATTAGGACCATGATCGAAAATGACTTTAGTTATACCTGTCTATAAGAGGTGTCGTGCATACGAGGCTCATCAAGCAGAAAACCAACCAAAACTACAAGTCCAGCTGGGATAGTCATCAAACCAAACACCCCCTATGAGAATAAAAAGCTATCATTAAAATACAAGTGATGATGTACACAAAAGACAAGGAAAAAGTTTTTAAAGGCTAACCATAGGGCCTATAAGGTGAACAAAGATACCACTAATGAAGAATCCAACTAGTTGTCCAACAGAAGAACTGAAGGCACACAAACTTTGCATGTCAGCGGCAAGTGAGGGATGAGAAATACTGTTCTGTGCCACACAGGCATCAATGGTCACATCTGCTATTGCCACCCCAGCACTGCCAGCTGTCAATGACAAAAGGGCCAACACAAGATGCAGGCTTTCGTGCAAAGATAACAAAAGCATGGCAATCACTCCTAAGAAACCTGTAACCGTCAAAGAGGGTTGAAAGTCAGATTACTATGTCAATGAAGCAATTTCTGTAGCTCTTCACCACACCAGTACTTACTCTTAAGCATCATGAATATGTGGTAAAGTACAAAGTTAATCCTCAATAAGAAACTCAAACTGCAAATTTCCTGGTTGTAACCCTTCTAAGGTTGTTGGAGAAAAGCTAACTATACTCATGCTTGCTTAATACACATTGTACAAAAGTAAAAGTAAAAGTTCATCTTCCTAGAGATTGCATCATTACTAAGTTCCATACCTTGTTAATTATATGACATGTGAAGAAGTAGCTACATAACTGGCATTTGAAAAAACTTTTACGAAGCTTATTAGGTCTAATCTTATTATATAAACACTTAGGCAGGTATTTGGTTATGCTTACGGTTACAAGAGTGGCTTGTAACTATAAGCTCCTTTAACTTATATATTTCAATAAAGCTTCATTGTAAAGCTTGCCAAAGTAAGCTATAAGCTCTCATGTAACTTGCGGCTAAATACACGTGTTTAACCTGATATTCTGTTAAGCTTCTCACACAAAGCACCTTATTTTTTTTCACCATGTTCTTTGATGACATCTCACATCGACTTGAAATATAGCCAATGTAATCCTTATAAGACTTGGCCACTTCCTACACTAAAAGCCGATTTTACAAGGTTAAATTAGACCCTAATATCAATTTTTAAGATGATATCAAAGTCTATTCTAGATCTGGTATCCATTATTGGGTCTCTCATGTTTGTCCATGCTCTAGATGTCTATTCCTAGGTGTGGGGCTGTTGATATTGGGATATAATCTCACATTGACCAGAGACATGACTATTATAGTCCTCATAAAGCTTGGACAACACTCACTTAACGACTTAATTTTGTAGGATTGTATTAGATTCTAAATTCAAATTTTAAGAAGGCATTGAGGGTGTTCTTATTGGGCCATCATCCGTCCATGTTTCAAATGTCTAATCTTGCATGTGAGGATGTGTTGAGATTCTACATCAACTAGAGATATGACCAATGTAGTCCTTATAAGGCTTAGACAGTCCTTATCTTACCAAAGAAAAGAAGAGTGTGCCATTAGAACTCAATGGTGATTGATGGCTTCACGTCATGAGAAGCAGTTTATCTCCTGATGCTAATTCTATATTACAGAAGTAATCTTGTTAATGTCGGAATGAAACCTCTGTCAAGTGAACCAAGTCACTGGTCAATATTCCATAATGTCTTAGGAAGTCAAAGAAGAATAGAAGATAGCGGCTCATCTTAGAGACATTGTCTCATACGTTTCAGTATACACATATAGCAACCCCAAAACTATCAAGTGTTGGAGAGCTGCTCTAGTTACGGTGACCCTGCCTTAATTACGGCCTCTTTTAGGCCGCCTTAATTGCAATATCAAAAAGATATGTTTAGTCCTATGTTGATTAGAAATAATGACTAGCGTAGTCCTTATAAAACTTGAACAATCCTCATGTTACAAGTAGGTTTGAGAAAATAAGTTAAGCCTTAAGTTTAAATTTTAAGAAGATATCAAAATTTATCTCATATCTATTCTTGGGCAACCTACTTATCCTAAATCCATTGTCGAATCACCTGCATTACATGTGGGAAAGTCACCTTAATAGACATATGGATGATATAGAAATTCACTTTTCAGCCCCCAAAAGTCTATCAGAAATGGGTTAAACTCAACTCTAAAAGCTGAGAGAGAGGATTGTCCAAACTTTATAAGAAATATTTTGAACATATTCCCAGCCAATGAGATACATCTATTACAGCCGAGCTTCAGTATAATGTGCTTACAAGCCACAGCATTGGCAGTTTAGCATCAATTTAAGTTATTTCAAACTGATAAAGATCTAGGATAACATCCAGAAGTAAAGGGTAAAAGGAAATATAAAATTGCAAAATATTTAACAAATTACTAAAATTCCCACCTAAAACAATAACTGAATCGAAATCTATGTAACCTATCTGAAGATAGTAATATAAGAGAAGATTTGCGCAACACATTACATACCAGCAAAAATGAAATAAGGTCTCCTTCGATACCCAAAAACTGGGAGAACATCAGTGAGAAGACCCCATAGAGGCTTCACAATCCAAGGAATGGATGTGATTCCTTTATAAACCTGTGCCTCAGATGGCTGCACCTTCTGAACATCTTTCATATAATACTTAGTGCCAACTTCAGCAAGAGCTCCACCAAGTCCCTGGCTTATTCCATAAACAATCACCACCCCAAGTACAAAGCTCCAATGCATTTCCCTTGAAAGCATGTTAAACCAATGGATTGGGATGCAAAAACAGTCCCAAACCCCTTTTGAGGGTTCATTTTCCTCCATAGATTCACCACATGGATCTTCCTGATTTTCCTCCTCCTGCATTATCACACCTTTGACACAGCAAAGATTCAATTAACCCCCTTGAAAGAAAATCCTCCAAAAATTTGCCTATCTACTACACATGATGGGAATCTAACACTAAAGGGTCAGAGATCATTTTTTGCCCCAGATTTCAGTTTTCAACAAACACTAATAAAGAAGGGGTTTTGAAAAGTAAACAATTAGCTGGACCAGTTGGTAGTAATAAGAAAAACTAAACAAAAGACAGAACTGAAATGAAGGGAATTGAAAGCAAGGAGTTTAATGTGTATGAATGGAAATTAATTAGTTCCACTTGGTTCATACCTTGTTCTAATGGTGAAATCTTAAAAGCCACTAAAGGACAAGTCAATGTTAACCTTTTAAGATAACAAATGGGTATTGTTTTGATTATTCCCATGTCCAACCAATCAAACGAGAAAACGTCAAATTTACATTTTTTTTCTTCATTTTCCCTCTGTTAATGTTTCTCTTTATTTGTTCCTTTTTATTAAGGTTTTGAGCATCTAACCAAAAGGCAAAATCAAGAAACTTCGCTGAGACTTGACAAATTTCTTAAAATTGTTCTTTATGGCAAAAAAATTGTGATCGTAATGAAGGAGAAAAAATTGTAACATGAAATTGAAATGACCATATATTTTGGTTTAATAACTATTAATTAAAGGGGAAAATGTTTTCTTAATTTTATGATCGTGGAGCTACGCCATTGGTGGAGACAGTGGAAGTGGGCCCCCACATGGTTGAGATTTTGTTGCCACTTTCGTGACACCAACACCATGGTGGCTGTTGACGAAATTCAACTCACTGTGTCCAAAAAGCTGAAAGAACCGAAGCCAGATCTAATGGTCCATTCCAAAAGTTTGTGGAGTGGGAAAGTGAAGATATAAGTTTTTGTTCCATTTAAATTTTATAGAATTGATTTTTAGATATAACGTTAAGTGGTGAATTTTTAATTTAAATTTGAAAACAAAACATGTATAAATAAAATGGGGTTTAAATATTTTTTACAGAAATTTCAAAAATATTTTAAATAAGTGAAACAATAAAATATGCTTCATAGTTCTAGTTTTAAAGTTTCTGGAAGTTTACTCATTCTTTGGTAACCTTCCTTCGTTACTCCTTTATAACTTTTGTGTCAATTGTACAATTTTCACTAGAGGTAACGAAATAAGTTAAGCCTGAAATCTTTATTGTTGAATATTTATTTTAAACTTAATTTAATTTGAGTAATTTTATCATTGATCTTGTCGTAATTCGGAGTTAGACTCAACTTTTATGGTGTTTTTAGGTTTAAGTCTTATTTAAGAAGCTTTAAATGAATATGTTTATTCTTCTATCAACTCATAACCTTTATCAAGATGTGATTGACCAAACTTCAACTTACTTAATGAAATATAAAACGTGGACTTTAAATTACAAGCACAAATTAATTTAGGTGATTTTTCTTATTTAGAATTTGTTAATAAAAAGCCTATATAAATCAGACATAAACTTTATTTTAGAAGTTCAGGTTGAATTTGAGATTTTCAAACCGATTTTATAGTCGTGAAAGACCTAACTTAAACTAATTTAATGAAATATTAAACTTGAACTTTAAACTTTGTGCATAAATAAAATATTTGTCTTTTAAACCTTATATTGGGTTTAATACACAAAAGCTTGTACAAACTAGACTTTTATTGAGCTTGGATTCTATTTTAGAAGTCTAAATGGAACCTTGATTTTTGAGCTTAATTTGCTATAACATGCAGCCTATATTAAGACTACTATATTTTTCTCATGAAATTAGGGGTTGAGTTTTAAGTAATATTTAAATATGAGTCTTTTTAATCCAATTTGATCATGACCTTATTGATCTTAGTCTACAAAATTTGTACAAATCAAACTTGGGCTTCATTTTAGAAGTCCAAATTGTATATAAGCTTTTTGGACTGAATTTTTATAGTCAATAAATTGCATCGAGCTATAATCAACTTGAATTCCCATTATGAAATATAGGACTTGGGGTTTAATAAGTGTCATATTTGCTTTAATTATGTGGTATAATTTGAAGCACTTATCTTATTTACCTTTGACTTGAGCCCTTGATTTGATCCATATTTATTTTAATTTGTAGAAAGTTAACTTTAGTTTATAACTCAATCTTTAAGGAAATTTACAAGCTTTTTGATGTTATTTTGTAGATGAGAAAGACAAGGATGGAAAACATTGAAAGAAGCAAGTGAAAAACTAGGAAGAGCAAGTACAAAGAAGAGGAAATTTGGCTAAGTTATGGTGTCGAGCATGAAATTTCACGCTCATCACGAACCTTCTAGAAAGTTTAGCAAGTTGATTCATTTTGTCACACTAAGCACAAGTCTTCACAGTTAGCACCACAACTCCAAATGTCAATTTTTGTTATTCTCTGTCTCAAGCTAAGAGTGAATTTTCACGTTTAGCACCAAAAGTGCTGACATATTATTAATGAGAAGAAACAAATGGGTTCATGAGCTAAAAATGGGTAGATTCAAAGACACGTCGTTAGAGAATATTTCTTAGAGTGTGTGTGATAGCTAGAAGAGATTTCATGACTTCAAGATCAAACTTCTGCATTTCTTCATCATTTTTGTTGTGTTTTATGTATATGTCTAGCTAAGTTTTCCTTGTTGGGGTTTGATGTAACCAGACGCACTTTTATGCATACATCGTAAGTTATTAATCTCAATTGTTATTTAGTATTATTGTTCTATCTTGTTTACTTATTATTTGTTATGGTTTGATTTCTCTTAACTTAAATTTGTGGGTTTAAAGTGATTGAAAAATACTTGTAAACCTTTGAAATGAAGTACAACAGTTAATGGTGCTTACCTCTAGAAATAGAGTAAATGTTATTAGTCATTCATAAGCTCTTATTTTTAAATTTGGCTTCTTGGTTAAGTTATGCAAGGTATTGATAACTTAGTCAATAAGCTAGACTCTAACTTGGAAGAATTGAGGTTTGAATATATTTATGAGTTGAATGATAATTTTTTAATTATAACTAGATTGAAACTTGTTTGAAAACATGAGATGAAGGTTGGGTGAAATTAAACCCCAACACATTTTCTTATCGTGTTAAAAAAGATTTTGCATTCCAAGTGTTATAAAAACACCAAAAATATTTTTTTATCATATTTATCTTTCTTTAAGCACTTTAATTATTTTCACAACCAATCGAAATTTCTATACTAAAAGTTTAGTTTTAATATAATTAGTGATTTGTGTCAAGTATTGTGTAAGTCTCTTGGAAGATGATATCTCGTACTAATGATTGAACTACTTGTATGAATTAGTACACTTATCAAAAAGATAATATGGTTTAAATTTAAAACATGAATTAAATTTGGATGTTTTCAACTTGATTTCATCATGGCTTGTTTTGAGTTTACCCTGCAAAGCATAATAGAAACTCAATTTTTTTGTTTTCTATTTTTTTTCTATTTGTCCTTTCATCACAACCTTATGTGAAAGTCTCACCTATTTTTAATAAAGTTTAAAAGAAAAATATAAAATTAACAACAAGTTTAAAAATTTTGAAGAAACAAACAACAAACTAACTGAAAATTGGTTCTAAATTTTTTTAATTTTAATATAAAATTATCCCCAAATATATAGGAATTAGTTTAAAGTGAAAGTAAACAAAATGAGTTAGAAATAATAATCTTCTAATTAATTTTAAAACAATTTTATTTGAATAATAAAGTAAAATTAGCATAAATATAAATTTTTTTATAACTTTTATATATCTCAATTCTATTTGATAAAAAAATTATATACTTCTATATTCCTCAAAATTAATTTATCACCACAAATTTTTTAATGTTTTTTAACCTAAACGTACAATATCATAAATAGGACATGGAAAAATTGAACTATTAGAGTTATAGTTGTCATCAAACTTTTGAAGTGTTTTTATATTGTTAAATAAGATCCCTTATTCAGATGACAATTAGGCTTTGTGAGTGTGGGTAGTAGGGTACCCATATCTGTCCCACTGAATAAAAATTTGTCTCGTATTTATTTTATACTCGTATAGATATCTATTAAGCAGATATTTATAAATTTTATAAATACACGTAACACGCGGATCCATAGATTCATGGATATTTGTAAATTTAAAAAAAAAATTAAAGAAGTATTATAAATAAATTTAACTTTATTTTGATATTAATTATATTGAAATATTAAAAATAAATAATTGATATTAATTTTTGAACTTACAATTAATGATAATTTTTTGAGATATTAAAAATAATATATAAAAATATAAATATTTAAGTAATTTTATTTTACAAGTACTTACAGGTATGAATATTATGATACTCACCCATGCCCTGTTTATAAACAGGTAGAAAAATATTATAACTCGTTACCCGTAGGTATTTATCTAGACTACCCATTTATTATTCATTACGGATTTTATCCATGGATACTCACAAGTATGAATTTTTTAGTCATCCATAATCTTTCACCTTATAGTAAGAAGTTAAAAAAGTTTATTTATTCATTTTTATTCCTTCTCAAACATACATTATCTTATTTTTTACTCTTCTCTCGATTGTGTCTTCTTCAATGGTTTTACATCTACTCTTCAATTTCTCTTCATTTTATTCTTCACTTTTTCACACTGTTTTCTTTACCCTTGTTTGATTTATAGTATATGTTTGTGTTGTTATAGCATTTTTGTCAGTACAAATATATATATCATAATTGTTGTCTGTGATTTTTCATATTTTATTTTTCATATTTTGAAAATATTGGATTTTTTCATTTTCAATACTATTAAAAAATCTCCTCTATATAAGTAACTAAAAAATAGTCAACTATTTGTCTCCTAAATGATTTTGCATCTGGTTCTTGATAATATTCATAATAGTGAAAACTTTTTCATCTGATGCAGTTGCCTCTAGTAATATCAAAGGTAGTTCTAAAAGCAAATACACCAACAAATATACATGTTTTCTAGCCTCCACAAGTTTCATAGAATTATCATTAATTCCATCTAATTCTGAAAATGCATGGTCAAAACATACATTTGTGAAATGATTTTCAACAAGTTGACTATCTAATGTCAAAAATTTCATAGGAGAAAATATAGAAGGATAAAATTGACCAAAATGAATCAACTTCTCCTTATTAAATGTAAATAATAATAATAATGATAATAATAATAATAATATGAATCTCTTGGATTTAAGCATGTCACTCAAAGAAGCAACTCAATATTTGCTTCTATAAAATGATCGTTCAACTCTTAAAATTGTCTATCAATCATGTGATAAAATAATTCAAGTTGGAAATAATGTTGATTAGAAACTTTCTCCATTTTGCACCTTGATTTTCCTTGTGTTTGAAAAGTGTCATTCATATTTAGAACCACAATATTGTGCTTTTCACAAAATGATAAAACATCATTGAGTAAAGAAGACCAACCATCATATTTCATAAC